CTTTTTTTTTATATCAACACTCCGTCCGCCCGTATCACTCATATCGGAAATGATCCTTGCCTTACGTCGTAAGTATATACGAGGGACGTAGCAAATTGGAAAACTCGCGATGTTCGTTAGCGCGTGAAATCTGATCGCTCCCCCGTAATTATATCGAAGTCGTCAGTTTCGTCGACGAACGGCGACGTGCCCGCCGGGAAATTGTTGACGCGGCCGCCGCTATGTCAATATTTTCTTTACCCTTCACGAATGGTGTAGGTACTCGATTATTTTTCCGATAAATTTAATAATCCTATTTCTAACAAAAGCGTGTCTAACAGACGACTGATTATCTCGAGGTCAATGCGAGTCGTTGCTTACTCAGAACCGTGAAGTCGGGAAGGATGACAGTGCGAGATTACTTGGAAAGAATTTGGGGATCAATAGTGCGCGGTATCGTGAGTTTCTCTACTTAACTGGTAAAACATAACTACATTTACAATATCCCGTGATAAAAGACAATATCTTTTTTGTTTTGCGAAGCGCGATGTTTCTATTCACCGTGTACGTTTCATATATGTTTTAACGATATTTCAAAATAGTCTACACTGAAAACAGTATCCCTTCAAATAAACAGATAAAAAAAATATACGCGTGCCGCAAAATTATCAGCCCGCCATGCAGTAACCACGACATAGTCCGTAAATCCAGATTTTAAAACGGGGATATAGACAAAGTCGTGGAATTTAAAAACTTTACGATCGATCGACCGCTGCAGAGTTAGCATTTTTTAAAAATGAAAGCGTATCAAAATGGACTCTAACAGATGGATTTAAATCTGCGATAAAGCATGTATAAAAGTACTACGTATGCGTCTCCTGTTTCACTTTTACTATACAATATATCAAAATACAATATATCAAACTTTACAATATATTTTTAGAATACATCTCTAATGTTTAAAAGATCTACGAGGCATATAGTTGTTCGTTTGGTCTTTGTGTTCTTACGTAAACACATCGGGAATAATATCTCGAGATATCGTCGTACGTTGCAAACAATCTTCGAAACAAGGGTAAATCACGAAAAGCCGAAGCAGCGCACTCTTTTTTCGTCCGAAGAGTCAGGTTATCGCGTGCGTCAGAAAACGAAACGAAATGCATACGTTTGACGTCAAATTCAGCGCGCACGACGTCGCATTGTTCGAGAAAATTCGAGGGAACGTATTTACGCGGCTTTTGTGTCCAAGTATTATTACATAATAACGATGGGTCGAGGGTGATGACCAAGAGTCTCGGGAGGTTGATAATGCACAGCTTTGAGTTACAGCCGGTTATAAAAGCTCGGGTAAATCCTACCTTATTCAGAAGGGCGGAACGTCTCGGTATGGAAATTCGATAATATATCCCCGCAGATATTGCACGGCCGCGATAAAAGTTGTAAAACTCCCGGCACTTCTCTTAAGGTCCCGAACTTCATAGCCGCGGTGAAATCTGATACTTTACGCGAATTCGGGATCGCGCTCAGCGGAATACGATTAGCCGCCCGTAAAGAGAGTCAAACCGCTGTCGATTTACCGAGTACCGAGCTTCCTTCGCGGCCTAAACGCGATATTCGTGTCTCGATTCGACGCCAGGTCAACGGCGAAATATGCGCGCGCGATTCCGTATGTCGCGGTGCAATCGCCCGCGTTAATATTATCCCCCTCCCCCCTCCCCTCTTTAGATGTATTAACGTGTCCGACTGCATCCACAAAGAGATCGCACGATATGCGATTCATCGATTCTCTTTCCGTTCTCAAGACGAAACAGCCATGTTGAACCGGGTATTTACCACCGTGTAGACGAGAAGATCCGTTCATCAAATATCACAGAGAAATTTCACCGTATGCTAAATGTAAACGACGCATGTCGAACAGCATTTAGCATCCGATTACATGAGATGATCCTCAAACTGCCAATCACGAAGAAATTCCATACATGCGTATGGAATTTGCGTGTTTGTATTCTATAGTGAAGAGCATACACTGAAATATCGAATTAAGCGGCGTTTATTTGCAAATCATCGAAATGCATAAAATTGTTTATTTGTGAACAAAACCATCCGTGCGATATTCCGTTCGATCGTGCGATTTGTTTTGCAAAATATTGCGCACCTGTTTATAGCAGCTCTGTATTATGGAGCTTTATCCGCAGTTACAATATAATAAAAAATTATTGCACGCGCGAACGCGTACCGAAATTTTAATTGGTCCCCAAAGTAAGATTTGCTGTTCCGAGCGCGGTTGTCTAAATTAACTCATTTATTAACCGACCTCGCCACAGGCCCATATACGCTTACTTATGTGCGGTAGTTATTCTGTAATTAGTCTTCAGTTATTCTGTAATTAGCGTTAATAGAGTTTAATGAAAGCTGCAGTTATCCGTTATGAACTCGTTGCTTCCCGATTAGCCCGAGCACACCAAGATGCATCCCCCGGAGATGCAAGCCGCAATGCACGCAAATGCACGGTTCTCGTATATGCGGAACCACCGACGAGGTAATATTAAAGACCGTCAGTTCTGAGTAAAGTTTCGTGACTGCCAAATGGAACCCAGGGAGGTTCTAGATAATTGCAGAGCACCGACATTACCAACACAGTCCCGACCAACTAATATTATAAACATCTGGTTGGTAATTGGTCTATTCTTTTCAGCTGCATTGCTGAACTGGTGCAATAAGTTAAAGTGAGACAAGTATATGTTTTCTCACTCTAATTTATTGCAGTTCAGCAATGCAGCTGAAATGAACAGACCATATATTACATGTCCCTTTGTGCCATAGATGTCTATACGTATCTATTAAACACGTGGATAACAATAAATCGTAAAATTAAACCCGAGATATAAGCTAGTTGTTCAAATATCGGATATTTTATCGTTGACGTTTAATAGCACCTCGTCGATGTTTGAGGATTAATCTCAAGGTTGAACGTTTATATGTAAATTATAATATTTTACATCTACATATAGACAACGTAAACTATGTGCGAGATATACTCACGTAAGAACGTATAGCTTACTAAAGAATAAATTTTTAATAAAAATTTATATTTTTATTTAAAATTCATATTTTATATATCATATTTATATATATCATATTATTCATATTTTATATATCATATTTATATATATCATATCATTAATATTTATATACATCATATTATTATATAATATATCATATTATAATATATCATATTTATATTTAAAATTTATATTTTTATTTAAAATTCTAATATATAAATTTATGAACGTTTTTTCCTAAACAAGTTAGAGTTCATAGAATTCTTTCATGATATTTTTACCTTCAGGATTAAATCTACTAATCTGTCACATAATGAAATGAAAATTTTAATTTTTATTTATCTTGTAATTTATCTTATTTAAACGTTACATTTATAATTAATACTCAAAATAGATACTGCAACTGTCATAATTTAATTAATCTTTCTTGGATATTTTAATATAATTTACAATATTCTACATAGTTTACGTCATCTACATAAAAAAGGACTGTACATATCGCGTAGACAATACGTAAACAATTTATATAGACGTAATCTTGAAATCTACAGTACAACCTTGATTAATCTCATGTTTCAATGAGAAATTAATATTTACTCACCAATATGATCAGAACTCAATATTGTCATCTGCAAGCTCACGGCGATATGTGCAACTCCGAACTGCCATAACACGACGAGCGCAGTTGCCCTCGAAGATTCCTGAAGTTCGGCAAAATATCTCCTCGGCCACTTAACGACACTTCCTGGCAACATACGCACAAAAGTTAATCTTTGTATTCCCGACGATATTTCGCGCGTCTCCTTCAGGGAGCCAAGAACGTAAAGGGCAGCGATTTGAATTCTGAACTGCCATTAGGTGCGATGAATGCGAGAAACTTCGACTCGACACTCCCGACGGTTCCGCCAGACATTCACTTTCGACGACTACTTAACGACACTTCGCTGTAACAAATGCGCGTAACTCACTTTTGGCACTGCCGGCGATAATGACACGTAGGCGAAGGTCGCCTTCGGCGAGTCGAAATCGCGAAATATATGCGGGAAGGCTGGAATCCACTCACTACGCGTGTAATTCGCTACGCGATTGTTAATGTGTGATAGCGCGACGATTGAATGATAAGTAGACTCGATACAAGACGTTGCGCGTCCCAACCAATCACGACGTTCCATTCGAACAATTCGCGAGGCTCGCCATGAGAGAAAAGTCGAGAAATTTCACTCGTCATTCCCAATATCTAATACCTACTTTCAGCAATATGTAACTATGCCATACCTTCTGTTATATTCAACGATAATTCACATGCGAGACTCCCTTGGCGAGTCGAAGTTGTGCAGCACAACGACGAGAAACCCGAACTGCCGCTACGTGACGAATGTACACAGACTTTGCTCGTAACCCGCTCCAGGGAATATTCACTTCTCGCGGCTACTTAACGACATTCCGCAATAACACGAACACGAAATTTACTTTCGGCAGTCCTGGTAATGATGATTGAGACGTGAGGCTCAACTATGGCGAGTCGAAATCACGAGAATTCACGAGTAACGGCCACTCACACCCACACACTACTCCGCAACCTGCGCCATGATTAACGACGGCCGTGAATGTTGTAGCGATTGCTATAGTAAAGGAACGAACCGACCAATCATAGTGATTCATTTGATTTGTCCGATGCGAATCCGAAATACGCGAAACGCTGAAGACTCTTTTGTTTTTCGAAATATTGATGATATTGCGATAACAGCACAAATCTTTTGGTACTTCAGGAAAATTAAATTCTTCAGACAGTCATTACGCGCGTTCATATTTTCCGTTAAATTTATTAATGCAATTATTTTCATGTTGTTACTCGATCTAATCGCATCAATCAACCTGCAGGCCACAATGCGACATGTACTGTCATCTACAGGAATTTCATCGTATTACGATGAAAAACATGGAAAAGATTGGTCGGTACAATCCTGAGCTACTCGTATTGCGTTGGTGTCACTTGGCGATCAGCAAATTTAGCGAAGTTGTCCGATAGACGTGATTTACTTTCGTGCCTTCAGAGTTTTCGTCAAGGCAAAACAGCCAGCTTCTCGGAAAGAACCTTTCCACTGAAGGTTTTTAAAGCTTCCAAATGGCTACGTTGGAGGATAAATCGATCTGGGAAGACGGAGAAGTAAGAGCGATTTTACGTTTTGTAGGTTATGGTACCGAATGACAAGCACATCTAGATGAACGTACAGTATTATAGTATATCTTGCAATCACAAATCTCTGTTAATTAAATTCTTACCTTTGATTTTCTCCATTTGTTAGATCTATTTTCTTTACTGTCCCTTTCGTCTCTCTTTCATAGAATTTAATTTTCCATCTTTCCTCTCCTAGAAATCAAACGTTTTTTTCACATTAAATACAAAGGAAGTAAAGAAACGTTTATTTACATTGTAATCAAACGTTTATTTATATTGTATTTACACAAAAAATATCTGCCATATAATTTCTTCCTTCCCTCACATATATTCTTATACTGTACTCTGAAATTGCAGAATATTTATAAATTACATATCATTGAATTACGCTGTTGAATTGTTTTTCCAATATAATCAAATAGAAGGATTTTATAAACAATGGGTGATTAACATTTTCTAATCAATAATTAAGTCTCAAGAAATGCAAGGAGAATTTTAATTAAATTCCTTTATGGCATATTTTATTTTATCAGCTATACCTCAAAATTAGAAAAAATAAGATTAAAATGTTATTTTGTCTTTTAATATTTAATTTCATCATTTATATAAATTGCATGTGCTTGCATACACACATATATATTTAATAGTTTTAATTAGATATGAATCTTTAAGAGATTTTGAGGATTTTAAGATTCTGAAGTAGATTGACTTAAGACCAAGTCTGAATATAAAAATTACATGAATAAAGACTGCTATTGAGTTAAGAAAAATAATTTCCTCTATTTGCAATTAAAATATAAAAATTCTTATAGATAATTATTTATCTGTAATTTCAAACTAACAGTAAATTCTTGGATTTTTGTTACTAAGTAGGATTTTGCAATGATGGAATTATTGCATCTTTTACAGGAGACTTTAGGAGAAGATGTTCTACGAATGTCTACCGATGAGATTGTGTCGCGCACGCGGCTTCTGGATAATGAAATCAAGATCATGAAGAGTGAAGTGATGCGGATAACCCATGAGCTACAGGCGCAGAATGATAAGATCAAGGAGAATACTGAGAAAATCAAAGTAAACAAGACTCTACCATATCTGGTTTCCAATGTTATCGAGCTGCTAGATGTCGATCCACAGGATATGGGAGAAGAAGATGGTGCAGTAGTCGATTTAGACGCACAGCGTAAGGGCAAGTGCGCAGTTATAAAGACTTCTACGCGTCAAACTTACTTCCTTCCCGTGATCGGTTTGGTCGATGCCGAGGCGCTGAAGCCAGGTGATCTGGTTGGAGTTAACAAAGATAGTTATCTCGTGTTAGAGACTCTACCGGCCGAGTACGACGCCAGAGTCAAAGCTATGGAAGTAGACGAACGTCCAACAGAACAATACTCCGACATCGGTGGACTGGATAAACAGATTCAAGAACTGATCGAAGCAGTTGTGCTGCCTATGACGCACAAAGAGAAATTTGAGAATTTAGGAATTCAGCCGCCCAAGGGTGTCTTGCTTTACGGCCCGCCAGGAACTGGGAAGACTCTGTTGGCTAGAGCCTGCGCCGCCCAAACGAAGTCCACTTTCCTGAAGCTTGCTGGCCCACAATTGGTACAGATGTTCATCGGTGATGGAGCGAAATTGGTTAGAGACGCATTCTCATTAGCCAAGGAAAAGGCACCGGCTATAATATTCATAGACGAACTCGATGCTATCGGTACGAAACGATTCGATTCAGAAAAGGCTGGCGACAGAGAGGTACAGCGCACCATGTTAGAGCTGTTAAATCAGTTGGACGGCTTCAGCTCAACTGCCGACATCAAAGTTATTGCTGCCACAAACAGAGTAGATATTTTGGATCCGGCTTTGCTGAGATCCGGCCGATTGGATCGCAAGATCGAATTTCCGCATCCCAACGAGGAGGCGAGAGCACGTATCATGCAGATTCATTCGCGCAAGATGAACATGTCGCCAGATGTGAATTTCGAGGAATTGTCAAGATCCACGGACGATTTTAATGGAGCACAATGCAAAGCTGTTTGCGTAGAGGCGGTACGATCACAATCATTAAAGTACCAATTAAAGTTGACCTTAAATGAGACAGTGCCACGAATCACTCTTAACAAGATCAAATTAATTCTAAAATTTCATTTTTACTAATTTTATAATTATTAATTTTTTTTTACTAGTCATATATTCAATCACCGTCCTGTTTATACATAAATAGCTAAATTTAGCCGACTCACATATTATTTATTGTAATAATGACTATAATGTGACATGTTTACAGGGTATGATAGCGTTACGACGCAATGCGACAGCAGTTACTCATGAAGATCTAATGGAAGCTATTAATGAAGTTCAAGCAAAGAAGAAAGCAAACTTAAATTATTATGCCTAATATGCTTCGTCGCGTCATTTATTTAATAAGGTACTTTTGTATAATAAATACACATTATTCACATACTTTCTCTGATTTTTCAACAAATACTATATATCTGTGTGAAACACAGATAGATAGCCTTTCTAAAAAATTACATGTACGAAAAGAAATTGGAGAGTATTATCTTTATTTCGTCGTAAGATGGTTACATTTCATACTTCTATGAATATGTACTAAAATGTTATTTTACACGCTACTGGTTTTTTATAATTTATGTAAAAAGGAACTTATATTGTGTGTATTGAATATTAAATGTTACAGAAAAAGTACAAGATTGAGAAAATATACAGGATGTTTCACGCAAATTATTGTAAAATAAAACATTTCGTATGGATTTTTAAGATACAATAACGAACGAAAGTTAAAAAATAATATTACTGGATGGATAATAAACAGGATATGACATGAAAGAAATCAAGTTATATTTGCAATAGTTAATATTTTTGTAAGTACAATAGACAATAACTATATGATATCCTTTATTTATTGATTATCTGCACGAAATTCTTACATTTCTATCACTACATATAAAGTTAATCTTGTCAGAAATGATTTCTATTAAGAATTTACAGAATGCTTATCAAATATAAAATTTTTTTTTTATAGAAGTGCTTTAGTCACACACAATAATGATAATAATTATAGTTTGGGCATATATTATGGGACTCATCGCCTTCGGTGACTTCTTTTTCTGATCCTATAGTAATGGATATATTAAATATTAATAATGGATATATTTTATATTAATATAAACACAATTTTATATAGCAATAGTAATTTGAGATTACTAAAATAGGTATAATGATACAAAATTACTCACTTCTTTGGTCCTTTTACAAAACACCAATCAACAGAAATAGCCTGTCCCAAGATTTCTGTACCATTCAAAGCTTCTTTTGCAGCTTGAGCTTCCTTAAAAGTTTCATATTCTACCAATGCGTAACCTTTTAAAAATCCTGTTCTTCTGTCCAAATTCAAGTGTAAGTTTTTGATCTGGCCAAACTCAGAGAATTTGTCCTGAATGTCATCTTCTTGTGCTTCTTCATGCACAGAATTTATGAACAAAATCCATCCTTCCACAGCTACAAATATGAAACAAATTATTATAAGTTTACAATATTAAAATAATCAAATAAAAGGGGGAATAATAATATGTATAAGTGAAAACCAATTAACGTAACTACAAATAACATAATCTTACATCTTTGAGGACCAGGTTCATTATCATCTTCTTCAACCAAATTCATAGATTCATAATGCCCAACATCATCTCTTGTTGATACTAACTCGGCACCATGACCTCTACCTTTCCTTCTCTTCGCTTTCTCTTTAAGACGAGCAATACCCTCTAAAAGTATAAGCTCAATTAGACATGTATTAATCATGTTTATTACATAAAATACTAATTGAGTGCGCCCAAAAACTTAAATTTGAGATTGAGGTTATGTAGCATAGTACAATTATCCGGACTTGAAAGAATTGAAGTAACGCGACTTACGATCGCCTTCATCGTCGACTTCGAATTCCTCGGCATTATCAATGTCCAAAACGTCCGCCATAGTTATGGTTTGCACCTATATAAACAATATTAAGTGACAAACACATGTAAATATTTCACGATATTAACGAGTATGGTAAAGTCAATAGAATTGTAGATGGAATTTTTTCTCATGCACATGCAAGGTCCTTACAGGTCTTAACACTTTTTTTCCAAAATCCAATTACGAAGGCTGCACACAACGAACCTAAAGCCAAGAGAGGTTAGGCGACAATTTCCGGAAAAGTAGAGGGGATAATGTTGGTACCAAGGAAAATCTCTACACGATATAATTTAAAGGTCTGTTCTTTGTAACTGCACTGCTAAACTAGTGCAAAAAATTAGGTTGCAAACCCATGCAGCGGAATAACGGAGCGCGGAACGAGAGCGGAACCAATCATGAGCGGAAGCAATCACGAGCGAAAACTGTGGAATGCTCGTGATTGGTTCCACTCGCGTTCCGCGCTCCGCTATTCCGTTTGCATTCCGTTTGTACCCAAAGGTACCTTTAAATAGAAGCGTCGAGCGTCGAGCGTTAAAGCGTTAGCCAATCAACATATCAGGTCCCAAAAGTATACTTGTAATTCTTGCGGAAAATGGCACGTTAATTGGCTACCGCTTTAACGCTCACATTCGATGCTCCCATGTAAAGGCACCTTTAGAGTGAGAAAACATCATTGAAATATATACTATCTGGAACGCGCGCTACTGTATTCATATGGCTCCTGCCCACAGGACGCGGCAACGCGGGAAGAGATAAAAAAAAGAAAGAGAAAACAAAAAGCACATTATAAATTAAGCTTAAAGCTTTTTTGGTAAGAATAACTAATCGCTTGTTTTAACGAAAGCAAAATGTGATTGGTTAGCCAAACATTTCACGTTTTAAATATCGTGCCTGAATAGACTACGCCGCAGGAGAATATATTTTTTCCTTACTCCCATAGTGAAAATATATATTAAAACTCAAAAAAACTTTTGATATTTTTATTGTTGAACAATAAGAATACATTCCATTCGTACTCTTTGATGTGATTATCATAAAACATTATTTCTATAATCTTCATAAAGTTTTATTAGTGAGGAAGATGTCCTAGGAGTAATAAGTGTTAATGCAGTTTCGAAATGTTTTTTTGTGACTGTTTCAGCATTAATATTTTCCTCCAATGCTTTCATAGCAGCTTCATGGCATATCGCATGAATTTCTGCACCGGTATAACCGTTCGTCCGCCAAACCAAGTCTGTAACGTCCACCTCCTTCGCGATCGGCATCTTTTGCAATTTTATAATAAATATTTCCTGCCTAGTCTCCTCGTCCGGCAGTCCAACGTATATTATACGATCTAGTCGTCCAGGTCGGAGAAGCGCCTGATAAAATTAAAATGACAAAATAATTTTTGTACTGCCAAATTAAATCGAATTCAATCAAGATTAGACAACCTAATACGTTATTAAAATAGAATAGAATTTTAACATTTTTTTTCCTTTTTTCTCTAAAGTCTATGAAGTCAAAAGACCAGTTCTTGTAGTTAATTTTGTATTTCACAGAGCTATCCAAATATATTTCAGTCAACAATATATGAGAAATTACCTTGTCAATTTTATCTGGACGATTAGTAGCTGCTACCAGCGTAACGCTTCCCAGAGCAACGATGCCATCAAGTTCGATCAGTAATTGAGCCAGTACTCGTTCCTGCACATTGCTACCGCTACCGCCGGAAGATGAACTTCTCTCGCCTCCTAATGCATCTATTTCGTCGATAAACACGATTGACGGTGCTACTTGCCTCGCCCTTCGGAAAACTTCTCTCACAGCCTTCTCAGACTCACCGACCCATTTCGAAAATAATTCCGGACCCTGGAAGCAATCCCGTGATATATTTAATGCAAACGCACACACATTTCAAATTACCTTGATATTCAAAAAATTCACTCTACTTTCAGTGGCGAGAGCTTTCGCGATCATGGTTTTCGAACATCCTGGTGGTCCATACATCAAAATGCCTTTCGGAGGCGTAATACCCATTTTCCTGAATGCATCAGGAAACTTTAAAGGCCATTCGACGGCTTGTTTCAATTTTAGCTTCAAATCTTTCTGTCCACCGATATCCGACCATTTTACACTTGGTATTTCCACCAGAACTTCCTTCATAGCTGAAGGTTTCGTTGTAATCAAGGCGCAATCAAAATCCTCTATCGCCACTATTGGCTCAATATCGAAAGATGCATGTTCTTCGAAAAGGGCCTTTCTCTCTTGGCGTTTCACCGCACTGAATATCGCTTTGGAACACAAACCGTGTAAATCCGCGCCAACAAAGCCATGTGTATTTAACGAGAGAACCTGCACATCCTGTTCCGAAAGAGTGTTGGGAATCTTCGAAATTAATTTCGTCAATATTTCCAAACGCATGTTTGGAGTTGGTACATAAATTTCAAACTCTACGTCTATTCTACCGGGCCTCCTCAGAGAACTGTCTACGGAATATAGTTTCGAGGTTGTACCCATAACTAATACGTCGCTCTTTGTGCTGTGCAAATCGTCAAACAGTGCCGTTAACTGCGCAAGGATTCTTCTCTCGTGATCTGTAGTGTTGTTACTTTTCATGGGACACAAGCTGTCCAAATCTTCCAACAGTATTATGCTGGGAGCAGTTGATATTGCCTTGTTAAAAATTTCTTTGAGTCTATTTTCCGTCTCGCCAATAGACTTGCTATAAATATCCGAACTATAAACAATGAATGTCTTTGCATTGCATTCTGAGATTATGGCGTTAGCTATTAAAGATTTGCCAACACCAGAGGGACCATGCAGTAACACTCCTTTATTGGCACCAAAATTTTTGACACTTTTGTATTTACCAATACCTATCTGAACTATATCTCTTATATCGGATATAAGGGCATCGTATCCTGCTATATCATTAATTTTGTATGTTTTCTTCGGACTACTTTCTTCAACTTCCTTCTTTGGAAGTATTGTCCATTTGGTTGAATACAGTGCTTTAAAATATGTCATTTCTGAGGATTTAGTTTCCAAATTTATCCTCTCTAAAGCCGTCGACAGATTATTTTCAGCTGTTGGTTTTATCTGTGCTTTTTTTCCATCCTCTGTTTTAATTTGAACAGTTTCATACATTAGCTTCCTTCCATAAAATGGAATCATTACTCTATTACCAAGAGTGAATATTTTGTGCTCATTAAAACATTTTAGAATAATATCAACTTCTATGGCTATACTTTCACATATTGAATGTTTACTTAGTTGTTTAAGTACAATCTCTTTAGCGATATGAATATTATCTTCCAATAAATATATTTTCATTGGTCCATTCAAATTATCTAAGTCAATAGCTAAAATGAACAATTAATAGTACATTATAAATAAGTAAATAAAGTTTACTTCATTTATTCATTCTACTAATTAATGAAATATATATAAAAATATGGAAGAGAGAAAGAGAAATGAAGAGAAATGTAAAAATATTTAAAATAACAAGAATAAATAGAAGTTTATAGAATTGTGTTAAGATGTACAAGATACCTTGCTTTGTTAAAGAAGCACTTGTTAAACATGTATCATTGGTAGGAAAAGCAGTCTTAACAACTTTAGCATTGTTAGTCTCAACTACGACTGCATCACCAATTGCAATATTGCATACTTGCATAGCAGATGATGATATAAATACCATACCAATAGATGTCTTCTCAGAAATATGATTTGGTAATTCTGTGACATATATCACTGATTAAAATAATATATAAAGAATTACATAGATAATAAACAAGAATAAACAAGAATTACATAAATTAGATTTCATACCTTGGGGTTGATAAAGTTCTACAGTGCTGTACAAAATTCCATTGAGAATAAAAGAATATTCTCTTTCTACGTTTTCCAAGCAAGGTGGACAATCATTTTCATGTAATGATAAACTTTTTTGTGTTAAGACGCTTTGACACTTGTCGCATTGTAACCATGGTGATAAACTTTTTCTTGATTTAGCAGACATTCTACAAAAAATATATATTCCTTTTTCATTCAATAATTGTTTCTGACAGTCTGAAGATTTTTACCTATTTTATAAGAGGATTTTATTTATTTAATAATTATTTATTATATTTTTCCTCTTAATCATTACTATAAAATCTAGAAAGATGGATGGTATTTCACACCATCTGAAGAAAATTTAATTTATCTAATAAGAGGAAAGAGCGCGTGTTAGGTTAGTGTCGGTAAATAAAATCTCTCGTCGTCCACGTGCGACATCGAATGCGTCAATTCTCTCTTTCTCTCTCTCTCAGTATTGGTTCCACATATCCTGCGATTTCCCCCCACCTAACACTCGAATGCATCAGTTGGATTAACCTAAATAAAAAAGATCGATAGTAGTTGCGATTGGCGCGAATCGAGATATATCTCGATTTTGATAATCGATTTTTAGGATCGATTGCAATACTCGTTGCATTCAAAGATGGCTTCACTAACCTGTAGTCCGTAACTTATTTAGAATTTTATTTATTTATCTCGTGCAGAAAGGGAAACTAAAAGGGAAATCTTACCGTATGAATTAATTGTAAATAAAATTACGACTATATGTTCATTCATCTTTTCACAAGTGCCGTTAAATTAACGTATCTCGGAAAGAAACTTGAGCAGACGTATTACATATGTAATCATATTTCAAAATAATGTCAGTGAAATCGTTTTAGGTCAATTTCTCCGCATAAAATGTGTTTCAGGATCAAGTCAGAATATTAAGCATCTAATTGCGCATGTATTGATCGTCTATTAATAGAAATAATTATATTTAATATTGAAATAACTTCAATTATTTCAAATAGTTTTTAAAATGAATTTAGAAGTGGTTTCTCTTGAAGTTAAAAAGCAGTATTTTCTTTTAATAAAGCTTTTATTCGATATAGAAACACATATTGGTGAGATGTATTATACAGATATATTTTTGGCCAAAGATAATCGCAAAAATAAAGGTAGAAACACCCCACACACTATAAATCCAGATCCTTGGATTATGTTTAGAGTATCCGTCATTCAGTATCTGACTCATGCACATACTTTTCATTCTTCCAGCTTGCTTTTATGATCATCAAAGAATAATATATTCACTCTTATACTAATATTTCTATTTCTGTCGATAAAATTCTCTAATTCGAACATATCTCGCCATAATGCGAAATACTAAATTCACTTACTGTGAACGATCTGAGAGATTATATAATCGGTTGCTTTTTTTACTATTCTTTATATTAGCTCATCGTGATACTTGACTAAGCGTGTGTGAGAGAGTCTACTTTTCTCCGCTTTGTTCTTCTTTGGAAGAACTGTTCGGAAATTCAAGTCACTCACTTATTTAAAGAAAAGCTATTCAATCATCGATACCACTCTTAGCGATAAATCCGATACATGTAATTCTTTGAGTCATACTTAGTCAACGATTGTTATATTTTTATCTTTTATTATATTTTTATTTTAAATTTTTCTTTCTTATTAATATACTTACTTATAGACTTATTAAAATCTTTTGTTTTGGAGGGTTTTTAATTCAGAATTACGATAAACGCGTTTCCCCTCTTTCCTTCCTTCTCTTTCTCTCTCTTTTGCGTAACTGTCATCCAGTAGAGTTGTCCGTTCCGCACTCCCTTTAAGCACACCATTGAACGTTCTGTCAAATAACGTTCCCGCAGGTTGCAGCTCGGGGCACTGAGCGAAATTGAGATTCGCACGCGGTAATTTATAAGTAATGATAATGACCTCTCGGACTCAACGATCTTGGCAGTAGCAATGGAGTGTGTTAACGAGCGCGGAGGGCAGGCAGGAACGAGAGACATCCCGGTGTAATCAGAGGCGATGATGCAGCCGGACGAACACCCCGCCGCGCTCTTCATGGTGGCGTGGCAAAAAAACACGGGAGGTACGCAAGAGGATGAATAGTCAGCTCTTTTTTGTCTTCTTTCCCGTGGTCCTCGGATTCCACGATGCGCACGAATACGTAGGTGCAAAAGGTATTATTGGACGAGCGTGTTTAACATGAAATAGGATTTTTCGCGTCAAATCGACAATGACGAAAAATGATATATACGCGCGGGGTGATATATAATGATATAATCTTGCACATTCCTGTCAATACCAATACTGAAACTTTTTTCTACGCTATCGCGTAATCGGGAATTAATTGTGAAATATTGCAGACACTTAAATACAGAGCACACGTTGGATGACCGATCGACAGCGCAAGCCAGAGTTCAAATGCAAGTGGTGTCGCAGCTGGAAATCCAGTTGCAGAAGGAACGAGACCGGCTAAGCGCTATTACTTTATCCTAAGATACTCCGTGATTGCACAATAACAAAATAATAAATGAAATTTTCCGCGAACCCCGGTAAATTCTGATTTCTTCTCGTCGTTTTCTCACTCACCCGGTTTATACTTTTAGTACGATTCCCATTTCCTCCGCTCGTCCGAAGCAAAAACCAAGAGTCTTCAGGGCAATCCGTCGAGGGCGGAATTTGATTCGAGCGCGAGATCGAAGTCGCTACGACGTTTAACTACCTGGTAAACACGCCGGCTCGTTTAGGAGACAAAACATTTCTGAGAAACGGAGGGTCCTACTGTCGCATTGACAAATATTGACAAGTTCGCTCGTCCACGTGGACATATATCGTGTCTACTCCTACTGTTCGTCCGGGATGTAACCTAAAAAGTCTCGCGGCCAATCGAAACGGGTGGCGCGGACTCGTCGAACATAAAGTCGAGCGATGCGACCGACCGGCTTGGCGCGCTGGCGAGTGATGGACGACCCGTCCGTCATGAGGCGGGCCGGACTCCGACGTTCCCGTACCAAACGAGATTAATAGAGATCCGCCTGTCAGCCGGACGTCTCTCCGGCGAGATCGAGCGGCTACGGCAGACGGCCAGTCTTCTCGCAGATCGCAAGCCGCGTGGGCAGAGCACCGGAACCGATCGCCGATCGATCTCCTTGCGATCTCGCCCTTGCACTGGCTGCATCGTGTCTACGAGTCCACCGCACGCGCGACTAAGAAGAGAATATCGAGCGCGATTAATTGTCCGTTCTAGTCATAGCCGCGATGATACCGTGAGAAACAGAGAAAAAGGGAGATCGGTGCTGGTCGTCGCAAGGAGATACTCGACGCGGACCAGCGAACCATCGTTCGGTCATTTGATATCGTATGCCATTCGCGTTGTAGAAGATCGTCCTCCGGTAGCGACTCGCGACGCGATCTCTTGGCGTTTTCAACGCGTATTACGTTAATTGCGAAAGAAAGTTAATTGCAATATCCGTTCACCGTTCGCTCGATATCAGTATCAGATGCGTGTACAAAGCACAAGGGGATGGCGGGCCGTCCTCGTCGGCTTCGCCGTAGTTTGCGTGGCTAATTTGCGACTAGGTAATTCTGCAGCGATTTTCTTTTTTTCTTGATTTAGTTTCCCTTATTAGTTTCCCGCTTCCCATCCAGTCATCTAAATGATGTAGATAGTGATAAATGTTAGATTCTGCATGTGTGTGATATAGTAAATTCTGATAAACTTTAAAAAGGAACATACACACGACGAGATATCTGCGCTTGTGTGTATTCAGAACTATTTTCTTTTTGAATATACAGCAAAAGTTCTGATTTTGATTAATAAATGAGTTGATCTCGGAATAAAGAAGATATTTGTCGTATTGTAAATTTGCGCAATATTCACTTTCCTTTTCTATTCATAAATAAAAAATAGTGTTACCTAAATTATTCTGATTTTAATCCTCATTTCGCCGTTATCCACAAGATAAAACAACCTGTTTCGCATTTTGAATCTTGATGCGTTTACCTATGATCTCTTCTCTTTTGTTGCTCAGTTTTCTGCGAAAAGGAATCAGGGAACGAGGGAAAGGTGCACTCAGAAGAGCCGCGACAACACACGTGCTGCGCTCGGCACGAGAAAATGATCGACGTCGGATACGGTGAGTGTGTGAAACGTTGATTATTTCTTGATACTTTTAATTCCACAATACTAAAATCATATGTTGTATATATAATTAAATATTAAATTATACAAATATTTAAAAATTATATATACATATATATATATATATAAACATGTATATCGACAATTTTCAATTTTCCAATGATCTATTAAAAATATTTGTCGTATTAAGATTGAATTACTGTTTAATTTTAAAACTTAAAAATATTTCAAATTCGATTTCGTGCAAATTTCGTGCCGAGAGAAAAAATTCCTCAACATAAAGATTTCCATAGTAAAAAATATAAACGAAACAATACCGTGTTTCTTGATTCGCGAAAGAAATTTTCGAGGAGGTATGCGTTTGTTAATCGTTAGAACATTATTTCTGCTGTTATCGCGTACGCGATATCGCGAATTGATACTCTGTGCTTAATCAATGGACATTAATGTGACCTGGCGGAGGGGACGGAACATCCGGTTACGGTGTATCTGCGTGTCAGACAGGTTCGTCAGATTTGCGACCCAGCAACGTACGCGTGCAACGTATCACGTACGCGCGAAGCGGTTCTTCCTCTCTCTCCCCCTCTTTCTCTCTCTCTCTCTTTCTCTCACCAAAAGAATCCTCTAATAACGTTTCTGATTCGGGCAGGGATTTTACATCGCGCGTCTGCCGCGTTGATTTATCTCGTCCACTTATTGTTTCCAATTGAACAGCGTGACCTTTAACCGTCTACAAAGAAGATCCTATACAGTCCCATTATACGGTTGAATGTTTTAGTCGTAATTAATATTTCGATTAAAGCACCACATAGAATGATCCAAATCGTCACGTAAAGTCCTTTCTAGTCCCTTTTAAATCATATACGTCGTAAAGTATATATTTATGATAAACGTGTATATCTTTATAATTCTCATAATAATCATATATAATAAACTTTTGTTATAACGATATTTATAATAAATATATATTTCCAATGTCTTATATAAAATGTTTTCATATACGTGTATTTTCTATTAAATATTTATATCAAAATCATATAGATGAATTATTTTTTAATGAACTATAGTCTTTATTTTATTTACGTTTTACTGATTTACATACAGTTTTAATGTAAAGCACGTGATCACAATGATTTCTTCCTATCTTCCGTCGAACAGCGAGTTACGACACGCGTCGGTCCTACCGTTTGCGGCGCGTCTGTCGCGCGAAAGTATTTGCTATGCGAGTTGGCGGGAAAAAAAGGAAAGGTGGCAAAGCCCGCGTATGCGTGAGGACACGAGGAAACGTGAATCACATCGATGTACTCCCGCATTCCAAGTCCCACGCGTTCGCGCCAAAAATAGCAGAGTTGTACACTCGGATTCGCCCACCCTCCGGCACCACCCCTTCTTAGGACTCGCTGGCGCCTTCTCTAATTCTATATAACTCATAAATCTAGCGGCGCGTCGCTTTTCGGCAAAATTATGTCTCCCCATCTTCCGGGACTTATCCCTTTTTTCATTTCGACGAAGTCCCGACTGTCCCAAATGAGTTTTCTCGCTTTTGAGGGGTATTTCATATCTAAACTGTTGGCTGTACGTCTTTTCAGACGTATCATTCTTTCATAATCGTAATTTTATATTCTATATTCCGTATATCATCTACAATAGTGAAACGTACGTGAGATGAACAATTTTCCAGGAATATCCGGAGAAGTTATTCAAATCGACGCCGGGCATTGTCGAAAATTATGCCCGCGACATGTGTCCGACGATCCCGGAGACGCAAGCCGGCCAGCGGTGCAGGTAAGTCCTCATAATAAGTTTCTTCCTTGTTTCAATCGTAAGCGATTAACACAGACTCCTCAGAAAAAACATCTAGTCAAAGGACACAAATTAAAAATAAGTTAATCTGTGTTGTTGGATTATTTATATTGTCGTATAATCGCAAAGAATGTAAAATGAAATGAATCTAACCGATGAGATATTCTTCTCGGTCTCTCATCGAGTTCTTCGGTTACAATTTCAAACTTCCAGTGAGAATCAAATCTAAAAAGACGTAAATATTCAAAGCAAACCTCCATAAATGTAGTTCAATTTCATATCCATAAAGATATGTCCATGTAATGAGATGACTCCCAACACCAGCCAGTAACAACAACAGCAGCAGCAATCAACAACGATCAAACGTTGAATTTTGAACGCGAGTATTCTCCAGATTGTCCGGATTGTTCGGCAAGAATGCAGTACAGAACCTACGTGACTACGCGTAATGCAGGGTGCATCTGATGTAAAAACATCACGGGTTGATCTTCACCCTTGTGAACCAACGGTACCATAAAAAGCACTACTTTTGTTGTTGCTACCGTTACTGCTGCATTGAGCTTTATCGAACCTAAATGAGGGTAATTTGTCGAACACGTATAAATTAAAAAATTATAATTAATATTCAAAAACGTGAGATATAAGAGACATTAATAAAACTCAAAATAGTTTTGAGAAGTCTTCGATTTACTATTATTCTAACAAACTATCATAAAAGTATCATCGAAATATTCCATATGTTTAAAATTTAAAAGAGACGAGTGTTCTTTCGCCCCCCGAAATATTGAAATACTTGAATATACAAAATGACAAAACTTTATTAAATTTTAAGCTGCTTCAATAAATGATGTAAAAAAGTCGTCTATAATGAATGGCGGGTTCGCTTATACCATACGAAACGTCTTTATTAAAGCACGATCAAATTTCGCAGAATTAAAGACAATTTTGCGACAGTGGGACATTCGAGAGACCGCGAACAGGACGTGCGGGGTCGCTCGGAGGGAAGGTTAAAGGAAACTCTATTTTTTTATGCCCCATGCCTGATTGCTCGCTCAAATATTTCGACGAGACAACGCGACATCGCCACGACTCGGAGGACGCGGGTGAGCGTGTGTAACCGAGGGCTACGCGAAGGGCGAAAAAGGTTGGAACGTCGTGCAGATTTATGAGGCGCAGGATCAACCAATAGCAAGTTGGAATGCGGCCACGCCAGGCATCGCGCGATCGTACGATCTTCGCGACTTTTACGGCGAATAATACACGGCACCTACCGAATATCTCCTATCTTCGCTGGTAATTTGTAACTTCTGTGGGTGTACTTCTGTGGGTGTACGCAGCTTTTGCGTCAAGCGCGGAATGCAAAACTCCTCGTCGGCCGTCCCGACGACGATCACGCTCGACCGAAGTTCGAGGCTAAGGAAGTAATACTACGACGTGTGTAATGACCGTATAATAATTCGCAATTCATGAATGTACAGCCGTTAAAGCAAGGAATGTAAATTTTGTTAGCTACTCGGTGATGATTGCGATTTGAATTCGCAAGCCGTAAATTGTTCCTTGAATTCCCATAGCTTGGCGAACAAACTCCCTCACTATCGTAATAACAACTCGTTTCGATTATTTCAGTTATTACTAACAATCTGCAGGAGCCGGATCGGGTAATTGAACGCGAATAAAGGCAGATAACATCAGCGCGGTACATCGAGCGTATCTTGCATATCCTACGATCCGTTTTTTCCGGTGCAAAAACTACATTCGACCAACGGCATTTTGTTGCGACTGTTTCAAGTGTCGCAAAGCTCCACTGTGTGTGCGTGCGATATAAATAGTCCAACATTATGAACGGCTTCGCCGTCGAACTTCGTTTTTAGCAAAAAGCCGACCGATGCGAGTCTCCCCGCGCCGAAGAGAAGCGGATCTCGTAGGGAAGATTCTCCGAAGACAAACACCCGTCCTTCCCGTATATCTTCCCGGATCTTTGGCCGGGAGAGTGCTATTTTCGTCACGTGACGCAATCCGATCGGTGGTATACGAGTTTTACAGCAGCCACGCTACACCCGGGACAGGGCGAGTCGGACCCCCCGACGGCGCGAAGGAGGCGTTGCACGCGAAATACGCACGAGAGAGAGCGAGCCGAGTACGCGATATGTTTTGCGTCCTTCGAAGGTCGAATCGTTGAGGTCACCGCACCACGGCGCCGGAGTGTCCAGCCACTAAATCCGGAATTATGCGCCTTGGGAATTATGCGCGGACGGATAGGCAGCGCCGGGAAGAATTTATTGAAACGGTGAACCCGCGCGTTTCTCGAGAACAACGTGGAAACGCAGTTGTGAGACGCAAGAGAGAATTCATGAGAATAATCTTTCCTTTAAATTAATCCTTTTAAATGACAGGCACACGAAAATCGGCGTAATCATTTTTAAGCGCTTGAGAACTTGATTTTCCATAATGTGGTATTCATCTTTCCGCAGTGATTATTCACAGGTGTTTCCTCCATCTGGCTTTTCCAGAAATGTTCATCGGATTTCCATTGTCGAGCGAGGGCCGCGAAATTGGAGAGAGTGTCGACGTTGCAGGGTGTCCGCGTCATAGAAACTATCGACGGGTGCGAATGCTCGCCAGAGGCGTCTTGCAAAAGGGAATCCTACATTCATCATATGCATTTTGGCACGCCGCATCAGGCCGTCATGGATGTCGGGATTTGCACTGGACATTGCGGCAAAGGTACGAGATTTGTGCACTGAAAAGAACAGTATGGTTGGCTCACACATAAATCTAATTAGTCAGATTTATGTGTGAGTCAGTCATACTATTTTTTCCGTGTATCATCAGAGTCCTAACTGAAAGATAGCAAACGCAAGTAATATACCCCGATTATCAGCAGGTAATAGTCTATGATTCGACAAATCAACAATTAAAAAATCTCTAATATTTCCATTTCTGTTGGACGCGCGTTGGGAGTAATTTGCCAGTATAAATTAACATTGCATTTGCACTTTTCAAGATCTGGGTTGCAAGCCAGTTCGGAATAGTACAATTAGCATCAAAGGACCAAACGGTAAGCATCCGCATAACGTCAAATTGAAACTTGAAATCGCGCACACACTTGAGACTACTTGACAGTCACTCAAATTGAGATTCGCAATATAATTTCAAGGTGACGAAGTCTATCAAATAATTGAGAAATGCGGTTGCGCCGGTAACTGTCACAGAATGGATCATATGGAGACCGTGTTGGATTACAGTGAAGTGACGATTAAAGAGGGCACAAACACGACCGACGTCAGACCCGTGATCCGAGTAAGAAATATTTCATTTAAATACATCTGTCGTTCTCCGCATTCCGGCAATCGTTGCTATCAATTTTTCGCGCGACGATTTCAACCCTGACTTCTGTTGTTCCCGACAGCAAATAAACGTCGGCCAATGCGTCGGTACGTGCCCGGGAAATGAAACGGAAACGTGTCTTTTGCGCGACAAAAAGGAGCCATCCAGATGTCTGGCCGGTTTATATTCGAAGCAGCACTCTTGCACACCAGCCAGATTTAAGGTGCACGAGTACAGGTATTTCATCGATTTTTATCCTGATTTATATAATACTGTTCCATTCACATTTCGCGTACATCCAAACTTAAATAAACTTCTTTTTGCTTCAATCGTGTTGTGTAAAGATTTATTTAAATATGGAAAATTGATGAAAAATTTAAAAATAGCAAAATGAAGGGTGTTAGAAATAGTTATTGGAAAAAAATAAAAGTGAGTCAAGCAAACTGGACCGGAACAGCAGGATTAACCAAAATATCGGCCTATGAGATTCCACGACAATTTATAATTAGAACTCCACACGCGATGAATGTGCCTTCATTTATCTTCGTAGTCTATAAATCGCTCGATATATTTTCGAAGAACGACGAGAATGCACCAAAAGAAACAGAGATGAGACCTCGGAGGTCGTACATTTTCGATCAAGTACTTTTTAAAATGTCCAGAGGATTATAGGTACAATAAAATTCATGTTTTTAGAACCCGACGAGGTGCGAAGAGAGAAATAATCCAGATCACTCAGTGTGCCTGTGTCTAGACTGAAATTACGGTTTCCATGTGAGTCACGTCGATTCCTCGGATCGAAGACGAAAAACAGAGAAATATGACAGTGTGTTTAGATATACTTTGTGCGCATACTCATGTTCCTAAGTACGTCATGTACTAATTCATGTGGCTAATAAATCAATGATGTGTCTCCCACGGAGTGTAAGAAAAGCGAGACCCTATATAACAAAGACTCGTCCACGCATCGTGCATGTTCTCAATCCTGGTGTGCTTAACGCGATGATGAGGCCACTTTGCGGAAGAAACGAGACCAACGAACCGCATTTTGTAATTTATTATGTAGTTTTCTGTATTGTACCCTTAATTAACGTGACGAACTGATTCTTCTCTCTAGTGCCTGATTATTCCAATTTAGCAGGACAACAAGGAAAATTGTTGACCAAACGAACTACGTTGGAGTATCGATTATGCGCTAAAATTAGTAGAAATCTTCCGTAACAAGCGCAGTGAACATTCTATAGCGCGTTTAACAACTGAAGAATTCCTTATTGCATCCTGCAAGGCTCCATCCGTGATTGTTTATCGTCAACGTGACGCAAAAAGGATCGAGAGTGCGAGTCAGAAGCTAAACGGAACCTCACCAAAAATAAACCAGCGATACTCGCGCTTTTTTCGTTAGAAAACAATAGGCATCGTCAACATCGTACGTCAATCCGTCTAAATATCGCTGCGTGACAAGCTACATAACTCGGCACTTACGAATACGCAAGATTTAGGAAGCGCTGTTTTTAATAGCCACACACTGTCATCGTCGAAACGCGACTGTATCTCAATTTTTCTCAGTCGTTTTCAAGTCCCACTTCTTTCATCGATCTCAAATAATCCAATTGGTTATTGCAGGAAGCTTGTAAATCATTTCTCTTGCAAATAAGCCAAAGAAATTATGTTTTTTTCGTATACAGGAGAGCACTTAGTATTAAATTTGAGAATATCCAAACTATATTTTATTCGTACGCGCGATAATTTTGACTAAGCAAAGATCTATATAATAGCACAAAGCTCTAAACACAAAAGCTTTTTCTCAATTTACAAGAATTTAAAATTTAATTTTAATTTAATTTTTATTTAAAGCAAAAATTTCCCATTTTAGACAACGAAAAATCGTTGTAATTTTGCTTAATTTCGACAATTTCGTAGTACTCGAACAGATTTACGCATTTACGCTTGTAAAGTCCGGTTAATCGTGGTAATAAATTGAACTGAATGTCATAGGCAGTAAGTCGCTCGTAAAATGTGCAATCAAATTTCTACAGTGTACCGTTTTACGAGCGTACTGTATAACTTATGTTCGAATAAATAAATTCAACGAGAACGCGTACGCACGCTTCGTGCACAAGTGATCTGCCACTGGGTTAAAGGGCCAAAGAATGTTGACGATGGCGAAAATGTTACTACTAAAACGCGTAGTCGCGTCGGGTTTGTGTCCAACGATAGAGGGAGAGAGAGAGAGAGAGAGAGAGAGGAGCGAATATTGCGGAGAGGCAATGCGGGGGAGGCAACTCCCGGCATAGCATAAAGGTGACTCCTCGCGGCCAAGACCTCCCATATGCCACTTAGCATCTCGTTCGGCAAAGTCTCCGTGCGGCTGTCGCTCTTTCATTATTTTTCTCCCTCTCTTATCTCTCCTTCCGCGCTGATAAGGTGTGGGACGAGCTCGGGAAAAGGCGCTCTCATCCCTGGATCGTGATGAAGGCATAGTCGATGCGCGACGGCCACGGCGACGACGGCGACGACGACGACGGTACCGATATACTTTCCGCGCGAATTTCCCGTGATCAAGACGTGAAAGGAGACACGAGACAGTCGGGTATACCTGTTGTCGTGAGTTGAGGGGGTTCGTTCGGCGCGAGAACGACATCGACGGTTCCATCTCAGCGAATTTACCGAGGTAGATCTTTCCTCGCGACGCACGTAGATCCTTGCCGATGGTAATGACGAGAAGCGTCGTTTCCTGTTTGCTAGTGCTACTGTTCTCATTGACGTCTTTGAGTGACGTTAACTCGTATCCGTCGGATTTTCTCGAGGACAGGGATGACTTCGAACAACAGCTCGGAAACTTGTGGCCGTTCTTCGGTCAGCTGACGGAGGAAAACGACTACGCACCCCGACGAGACGAAGCCCTGCAGAAAATACAAGAGGTCTGTGTGATAATGACTATCTCAAGTTACGGATTAAGGCATCGTGTCGTGATTGAACGTGCTTCTGATACGCACAACGCTGACATCGCGTATTGTTAATGACGATTCGAATCTCGTAGACGAAGGCGTATCACCGTGACTTGTATGTACTTATTATTTTTACGGTAAACGCGGTATTACGACGTTCATTGTGTTTCAAGTACGATACACCGTGAAGATCGTTTTCGATCGTTTCTTCCGCGCAAAAATCTCACGCAACCACGATTTGCGTTATATGATAAACTGCTCAAGTTCGATTCGCTCTAGCATTCTCCGTAACAACAAGAGAATACTCGATCGAACTTCGCGTTTGTGAAAACGCGTAGTGAAAACGATAACGTTGCAGATTCTTGGCATTCGGAGTCAAAGCGAGAATCTGGCTCATCGTAAAGTGCCGCCGCAATTCATGATGGAGCTTTACAATACCATCGCAGACCCCAGCGGGGTCACGCGAGGCCGAAATCCGTACAATGCCAAGGTCGTTCGCAGCTTCATTGAGCGGGGTAACTTGATTTCAATCAGCTTAAAAAGCGTGCTTACGATCGAAGTTTCACCTAACGGCATTGTTTCTCATTCGCGTTTAGATAGCTCCCTATCGCACTTCTTCTTCTTCAACATCTCTGGTCTGGAGGTGAACGAGTCAGTGTTGGAGGCCGAGCTGCATCTGTATCGGAAGAAAATACCTCTGAAGAACGTACGTCCGTTGACATTTATGCCGCCTTATTATCCGGTAAGTGGCACGATCAGCGTCAATTCATCTTTCGTAACGACTGGCACGATCAGCGTCAATTCATCTCTCGTAACGACTGGCACAGTCAGCGTCAATTCATCTCTCGTAATGTACGCTCGGATAATTCAAGTGTTTGAAATATTCGCTTGATTTCTGCGTAGATAAGGTTCTGCGTATATCAAGTCTTGGACGACCAAAGCCTCGACATGCCGGATCTTCATAGATTGATCCAAATTTATTATATCGATGCAAACGCTTCTGGTTGGCAGGTGAGCTTACAATAAGACCGACGTATTGTTGCCAACATTTTACATAATAATTAAAAATTTAAATAACAAAATATGGAAATAACGAAATAAGAATCCCGATTTTTCCTTAATCACATATCCAGGAAAAATTGTCCAATCTCTATACTCAAATCTTTTGCTGATCTAGGTAGAATTCTAAATGCCATAGTCAAAATTTATCGGTTTTTTATATCTGTTAGAAAATTGTCTGTAGTACGTAGATTTACAACTGTATTCTAACAATAACTGAAAGAAAATTTAAATCCTGTTATCAATTATTAATCTGGTCTTGACCTAGATGGACGCCACACAGAGACTTTTTTATTAAATTTTACAAGTAGTTCAGACATAAATTCTGTTTCTATTATCTGTATTGATTAAATACAAACCATATATAATATTGCAATGTTTGCTAGTCATTTATCTCTCTTAACTAATTTCTAATATATAGATAATTTTCGCTATGAGTATAAAACTATTTTTTTGAATGTATATAATCAATTTCTAATCAGTGCCCAATTAATGATACAAACGGATCGTTTTGTACAGGTGTTCAACGTGAAGCAAGCCGTTCTTAGGTGGATGAACGGAGAACCGAATTTAGGTCTGCTAGTAACTGCGTCGACCTTATTCAAAGACGGCGGCGAAGAGGTGGCGGTGGAGTTTTCACGTCGAAACGACTACCATCACAACAAGCAGCCGATATTGGTGCTCTTTGACGACAATAAGAGTGATCGCAGCCAATCCGGAGTAACAAACGTCGAACGTCGCTATTACGTTTACGGCAACCAAGAGGACATCGAAGATGTCCAACAGGCGGAAGATATCGCTTATGAGAAGGATGCAAAAAATCAGAAACTCGATTTGGAAAACAACTACGACAGCGTAAAGCGTTACAGAAGACACAAACGACAACGGGGTCAGTTAGAGGAGGCACGACTGGAGAATAGACGCGAACCGGAGTTATTCAAGAGGCAGAAGAGAAGACGTGACGAAGAGGACAAATCGGACGGCAGTCCTTCTCGTTACGACGGTCTTCCACGGGAACCCGGAACATTGACGTTGGAAGTGACGAGCGGACGTCGTCGTCGCGATACCGTGTCGTTGAAGAAACGCTCGCCCAAGATCGTGTCGTCGAGAAAAACGAGGATCCTCACGTCGATGGACATCTATGAGAGAGCCACGTTCCGTGAGAGGCTTGGCCAAACGATGCGCGACAGGTCGATGAGGCGATCGGTCGCGCGAGAACGTCGATTGACACGATCAACGACGAGCGATCAAGGCGCAACGACTCCTGAACAGAACAGCACGAGCGGTGAGTGCACCAGACACGAGCTCTACGTAGATTTCCGCGACATCGGCCTATCCTCCTCCATCATCGCGCCGGCTGGCTATTCCGCTTATCAATGCAAGGGCGTCTGCGAGCCACCACTTCGGCAAGACCAACGGCCGACGAATCATGCGACGATACAGGCGATCGTGCACGAGATGGGTCTAGTGAAGGGCGTCGAGAGACCCTGTTGTGTGCCGACTAAGCTGCTGAGCACCAGCATCCTCTTCTATGACGACAACGAAAACGTCGTGCTGAAGATGTACGAGGACATGATCGCGGATCGCTGCGGATGCCGTTGACGATTTTCTTTGGGATCTGCCTCGGGACAGTTGCTGCTTTCCAACGATTTTCCACGAGGCAGAAGATGGTTAAGGATTGATGTATTATCGCGCGTGTCGGAAAATCTACTGGGAACAGTCGCGGTAATCGCGCTCAATTAACCCCTTTCACGGCTAGTGTTTCGTTTCTGGAATCAAAACTTCAATCGCGAGTTAATTTTAGCGGTACCCAATCGTTTTCTCAGCATCCAATTTTCCCAGAAGCTAAATTGTTGACATGATTTTTATGTAAAAGCTATCATAAGATTCCTCTAGAATTCTTTGTATTATAATTGCGCTCGTTAGTGGGTTAATGGAAGAACGTTCTCTCAGTATTTTGTCATTCCCGGAGACCTAACCGACGATGATCCTTAATCAATACCGTGCGCAGCTACTTTGTACATAAGAACATTCCCAAGTGCGCGTAGTATCACACGTATTAACGAATATGTGTCTCTTAGTACCGTTAAGTCATAGCGCCGTTAAATTATTGCTATAATCGTAAACGAGGGATTAGTTGAATTTCCATCTGTGTATATATGATACGTGCGGCCAACGCGTTCTGCGTTGTCGCCGCGCCACAACTTATTTATAACCGACGACGAAACACAAAAGAAATAAATGATATTTAAGTGATAGGACGCGATCGTGATCGGTGTTATTGGTCCATTACTCCCCCGTAGCAGTATAAGAAGAGGTCTCGGCGAGAAAAAGAAGGAACGCCTAACGACGTGTTTTCGAGGGATCCCGATTTAATCCCCGAATGCACGGTGATGCATTGTTGCGCTCTTTTTATTGTCCCGCCGCTGCGCATGATACTTTTTTCTCAACGACGACGATGACGAGAAGAACGGCGACGTAAATAAAAGCGGCATCTCGAGCGACCGCAATCACGCGCGATATCTCGGCTTGTTTTCGTGCGCCCGGCAAAAATCAGGGCGCAAAATTTACAGACGCGCCTTTAGGAGCAGCAGGTGACAGTAACAGCATGCGACGACGAGCTTGGCGCCGCCGGATTGCAGAAATGCAGTCGCGGAATGCGAGCGCTATCGGTCTTTCCTTGCTCGCGTATCATTACGAGCAACGAGAACACGCCGAAATCTCGAGGCTAAAGCTGGCGCCGGGCACCGACGGCTCGATCGTTTGCCAAATATTCGAGCGAACAAATATTCCAAATATCCACACTATAAGTTATCGCTTAGTCAAGAAATGCAAATTATCGTCATTATTATTCACTATGCGTCTTACCAGGGTAACTGGCAAATGGTGGGTACGTCTCGAGAAGAGAAATATATTAGGACCTTAACTTAGTTTCCGCCCGCAAATGTTAGATGGCAATGCAAACAGTTCTAG